GGGGGGTCTGAGTGGCAAAGATCCCTGGATCTGCATCATGGACTCTCGCACAATGACAATATTTGTGTTTGTTTTTGCTGCTGTTCACGCCAGTATATATGAAGCGAGATATGGGACGGAGAGCACCACCCACCTTTGTGTTGGTCATTGTTTGATCGGAATCTCAGAAATTCTTTGCAGACTTCTGGGGGGGAGTGTTAGGTAACAATAGTCTAGAGTGTGTATAGGGATTGGACAGGTAAGGGGGGTACCTTCCGTCCCATATCTTGCCTGGTATACGCCAGTGCATCGCACGTTTAAAGCACACAGATAGAGTGCCTAGTCTTTATGAGGTAACCTTCAACATTTTAACGGGTGGGGAGAAACACCTACTGTCGGTCGATTGTCTTTTTCACTGTCTGCGTGGGAATTACATTGCTTACGTTGGAGTTAAGTCAATAAACAAGACAAATTATCTAGGACCGACACTACTTCAATCTATCAATCTATGCTAATTTACTGTGTGTGGTTTCGGTCCCTGTAGATGCTAAAGAAGCACTGTATACTGATACAGACAACGCCTATCTACAGACACGCTTTACGCAAGATGTAAGGTGTCCTGTGAGATTACAAGACAACGAGCGAATTGGTCTTGTAGCCTGGCGGAAAATCGATGATTCGCTCTCTTTCACGATCGCCCGGTATGCCATCCCTACACTGGGTACAAATTTTACCATTAACGAATCTCACTATGGATTAACAGCAACCCACAGTCTAGTCATTAAGGAAGCTAAAATGACTGACAGTGGGATCTACAACTGCGAGGTAAAACAACACACAGGACATCTCAGCAACTCACCCAACAACCCAGCGGAAATTAACTTAACCGTCTTGAGTGAGTTTGTTTTTTTGTGCTTAAAAACCCTCAGAAAAGCCATTGTAAAACGTACCAATTTCCCATTTTTTTAAATAGCTTTTTCAGTTTTTGGTCAATTAAGCTGATTTCTTTTTAATCCTCACTCTGACTGCAGAACCCCTTTTGCGTTGCTATAAACAGCTGGTGAGTACGGAGCCTTGACAGACAGGGCACTCCACTCCAGCCCATACAGCCATGGGAAACCTTGGTCCTGACCCAACCGGTGTAAACGAGCTCACTCTGTCTGTTTTTGTGCTGCCTCCTAGCAGTTATAAATAGAAACAATTCCAGCCCTTTTTGCCCCTGGCGTCTTTGTTGAAGGGCTATTCTATGGGAGGTAAATCATATCTGGGGCTTGACAGGAGGGGGTTATGTGGGCCAAGTACCAGCCCCCCCTTTCCAAAATATAACATAAATGTCATGTGTTTCCTGGAACTCAAATAATCCATTTACAGGGATTAAAGGTGCTGTAGGCCTCTCCCAAGGCGGCTGTTTACTTTCTAACCGAGTGGATGTAGAATCCATCCATGTGGGTTACACCCGTTTTTCCAAAAATTATTTTCTCTCAGAGTTAATGATGTTTTGTTTTCTTGATTTGTGTGGGCGGTTTCAATATTGGCTTAACTGCTCACCAAAACGGGGGATAAGTAGACTTAATTTCATGCAACGAAGCACGATGGTTAAAGCTTGCTTAAGACCAGCGGTTGTTAAAAGATTCCGAAAAAGGAATTTGCAAAACAATATCTTAACAAAACTTTAACAAAAATGTGTAAGAGGACCAAGATACCGACTAGTTTCCAAACACACAGTTACAATTTCCATACAGATTTTAATACCGTGATTGCATAATTTACTTGTACCAACATTGCGTTCATTGAAAGTCCTTGCAAACAAATCGGATGTGCTTGGAACCTACAACCTAAAGATGCATGTCTAATTAGGCATTTGTGCGAAATATATATTTCGTAGACAAGTCTCAACTCTAAAATTACGTCAATGTAAAGGTCTTTTCAATAGAATAATTCATTGTGATTTTTAAAGATTTTGTTCTGCCGTGTTAGCAATGCATAGTTGTCCAATACATAACCGAACAATTTTTCAAATCTTTAGATTTTAGAATCATTTTAACTTGGCCTGTTTTCTATGCTGCATCAGATCATATTCGTGATTACAAATGTCCTTAGGGCACTGTTTACACAGGTAAACCGCTTCACTTATGAAAACAGGACAAAATTTGGTCTTTTGCGATTACTTTTGTTCCAGATACGACATTCCCTGGAAACCTGGACCCGCAGAATATTACGGGCTTTAATCTTCAGCGAGGACAGAAACAGGAATTCCAGTGTCCGCTTTCATCCTCCGATCGGTCCAGAAATACCACTGTTTACTGGTGCGAGGACGTCGATGGAGAGACGAGAATCATGGGTGTCAAGTTTTCTGACGGGAAAGTGTTGGTAAATAAAAACTACCAAGGGGGCTACANACGTTACCGAGCGTGGTACTCTGGTTGTGAAGGAGTTAGATGGCTCACGCCGCCGATTCTTATGTTTGAAGTCTTTGCAAGAGCCCGGTATCGCAGCAGGACTGATTGAAGTCAATGTCACGGGTAAATTGAGCATTAATATTGTTTCTATACATCCAATCAATGTGTATATCAAAGGGCATGATTAATTTCTTTACTTTTCCTTTTTTTATGCTCCTTGCATATTAGCCCTGTAAGGACCTACATGTACATGTATATGGGTTTTTAATGTGGAATTGTGGATTTTCTGCCATCAGTCTCGGGATTACTAACTTTAATTGGGCTATACATAATTACATGTATTCAGAGAATTTTTTTGAAGCAAGGTCCTACAAGTCATAAATACAAAACATATAGTCACAACCACGAATTCGTTGTGAACACGATTTTTGCTTTGCACTCTTTTTTTACAGTTACCGCAAAGCAAGCGTTCCCAGCCATTTCGGGCTGCGATCCAAACGAAGCTGCATGCTCCGTAACAGTCGACAAGAATAGCAAGTCCAGTAATTGGGTCTGTTCCGTGTTTAACGTGTATCCTACCCTACACTTGTCCTGGTCCATTCCCGTCTGTGACGCCCAACAGAGATATCCAAGCTTCACAATATCAAACATATCTGAAGTCTTCGACCCAGCCGCTCAGACTTTCAACCAGTCTATCGAGCTACTGATCTATGGGAACGCAACGTTCAACTGCACGACTAAGTGTACAGCGTCGGGACTGGCCATCGCTAATTCACACATCCAGAAATCCCTCTACTTCACCAGTAAGAAATTATCGTTTTTTTGGCGGGAGGAAGGGTAGGAATCTGATCTCTGATAATGCCGGTACATGTTATGGAGTTTAAAATTACACTGAGAAAGAAGGTCTGCAGCTTTGTCAAATGCTATCACTCTGTTTCAGCGTAAGTAAAAATAAATTCGTGTAGGCCCTACATTTTACATCGTCTTCGGTTTCCTATAGTACTGATTTTACTAGCATACAGACGGGCACATGATTACCTGGACGCGATTCAATTGAGCGCGCAGACAACGGCTGCATTAAACAACCAAGAACATTGTTTAATTATATATAACAGGTTTTGCCCTTACCCAACGTATATTAATAAGCACTGTATGCTCAGTTTTTGTCCGAGAGCTTGCGAAAAAAAAACCTCACAAGCTTACTCGGGTGGGACTCGCACCCACGACCTCCTGCTTACTAATGCAGATGTCTTAACCACTCGACCACCGAGCTTGCCGGGGTCGGCTGGCCAGTCCGAATCAAATGAAGCAGCGGGTACCGCGAACTAGTTTTTTTTTTCAAGATGTATTTTTGCGTTGGGGAGATGTTAATTATATATAACAGGTTTTGCCCTTACCCAANTTACTAGTGCAAATGTCTTAACCAGTCGTCAAATGCTTAATTTGACTCGGACCGGCCAGCCGACCCCGGCAAGCTTGGTGGTCGAGTGGTTAAGACATAAGGGCAAAACCTGTTATATATAATTAACATTTCCCCAACGTAAAAATACATCTTGAAAAACATTGTTTAAGTCATGAAATGCACTTCATTCAACAAATGAACCTAACATTTTTTTCGTTTATTTTCTAGGTGTTGGTGCAGCAAATTCTGCCCAAGGCGTTGGACCAGCAGTACCGCTAGTACTGTGCTGTGTTTGCTTAATCTCCCTTTTGACCTACCCTCTCTGGAGCATGCTTTCACTGGGTTGATCCCAGAGATCTTGGAGATGGACAGTTACACTTATTTTCCATACAGTCCAGCACATAAAGAAAGTGCTCTTAATACAAGGTCATATTTACAACATGAACAATTTTAAGTCCCAATTCCTTGTATTTCTAATCTCCCATCATTGACAACAGAAAGTAGTATAATAAGATACATGTGTAATTTATAAAATCCTAGAAACCATGTTATGACAGTTCCCTTTATGATTCTTGTGGCTTATGGAAAGTAATAGACAGTGTACAAGTATATCAGACCTACCAACAGCGTATAGCTGGCAGTACATAGAGCACTGCTACACTTTAGGTGTGAGGAACTCAAGGATTGCTGTAAAAATACAAGAATATTCATGAATATATACGCAGATAAGTAGATGGCATTTTGAACCACCTGTTACAAAGTTTATAATCACAAATTTGCTCAATCGAACGCCTCTACTTCCCATGGATTCAAGTTCTCTTCATTTAATCTCATGGTTCTTCGTATTATTTCTTATGTACAGTAATAAGTTGCAAAGGCCTTAAATATCTTTCCCAAAAATACATGCACATTTACAGAACAAAATTTCCCCCCAAATGGACCTTAATGTCTTCCTCAAAGTACATGTATATCAGTAGAACAAATTTTTCCCCCATAACAGACAATATAGGAAACTTCAATACTAAGTCATCTGCCATTTAAGAATGTGTAAATAGACTTACCAAGCAGCGTCCCTCGACCCGTGCCAATCACTAACGCTGTATGCACCAAGGCAAATAGATATACATGTAGCCATGTTTCATACAAAGTAACAATGTACAGTAGCAGCAAGTAGCAGTAGAGAAGCAGTACAGTAGCAGAAAGTGATGTTAACGCGATGAGGTTCTGAAGCTGAGTGATCTGACTAGGGTGTTTCGGCCCACTCCGCAGGGTGGGGTGAATCACAAAAGCTTTTCATACCAGTGAACAAATGCAGGGCAGAAACAATACTCTGTTCAGGTCACTATTGTCAGATGCTGGCGCGCACATGTATGGCTCTGTAGATATGCAAATGCACTACTAAATACAAGAAAGTCACAGAGTGCACCACACAGTATTGTTGATAGCTATTTTCACCAGGTGTGTAAAGTGAAGGCTGAAGAGAGAGCGCTGTACAACACAAGTTTGCATTTGTAATTGTGTTAAATAGTGGAAGTCTGTTCTTGAGGTGCCGGGTACACGTATAAAAAGAAGAATTCTGTAGTCTGAAAGTGAATAAGGAGTGTTGAAAAAGTAGAGGGACCAGGTGACTAGGATAGTAGGTAGGCCAACAGAACTGTTAGAAGGCTACAAGCTTTTACTAGTTTACACAGGTTATTTAGTTTTGGGGTATCATAACATCATCTTTTATGCCTCATTCTATGTTCTTTATAAAACATTTACTAGAATTACCTTTTCTTTTTGTTTGTAAATTAAACTCACTTAGGCTATTGAAGACTGTGGAAACAACTATTAATGTCATCTTTTACTATTAAATACTGCTGCACTCAAAAACTGACTCTTAGAGTTTCATGAACACGAATTACACTGTAAGTCAATTTCTCAGCCCATCATGCCTATCAGACATAAAATCGCTTCTCTTGAAAACCCAATGTATAGAACTGTTGACTACGGTTCCAGGCCTGTGCCTATGTACAAGATGTAGGCCTCCCTCAAGTTTGCATGAACTTTATATGCTCTCAGTCATACAGATGTATACACGAATACATGAAGTACATGTACATGTACTTTGATCGTGTTTTGACACGAAAGGTCCCTGCATCCTGACAATAACCCCTGCGTACCTGACATTGAATCTCACTGGTAAAGCTTCCCAAAACTGCACGAACATTGTGACCAAAATGAAGAGATGCACAGCCGCAACACGCACGTCGTACATTCCTGCAACAGTAGTAGGAACCTACTACAACACATCCTGCGCACAGCCACCATGATGCTTTCCCGGGTCGAGAGGATATCACGTGATGTTTAACGGTTGGTTTTATTCTTTTCCCTCCACGAAAATTCTAGCATCCATTGAATCTTTTCCTACTTCCGTGACAGAATGGACACAACTCGATCTTGTTTTACAGACTAATTGATTTTTTTTTTAAAACAGAGTGACGAATTAACCCGAAGAATGGCAGAATTGGAGCAATATAAAAGTACACAGTGATTCATGTAAATCTAGAGAAGCGGTGTTTTACTTCAAGGAAGTCCCAGTTTATAAATGTAGAAACGGGAAAACCTAGGTGATCCCTGGGCTTTGTTAAAGGAGAATGGTGACATGATTATCGCAATTGTTGGACCAAAATTGCCGATAACTGCGCACCATGCGCCACTGCAAACAACACTCGCACTTTGCACACTCGGGTGCAGGCCAGTAAATAAACTGCCTCAGTCAAAACCGACAAATACATGAACTTAAATAAATCAGGAAAAATACGAGTTTCTCAGACGTTCGACACACAAATCAGATTAAAGCTTATTTTTTCGTTTTTTAAATTTTCTTTTAAATTTCTATTCGTTAACCGATGAGTTTTGAAGATATTTCGTTTCCACAGAAGGTCACCTCTTGAAAGCAGTCGTGAAGCCCCTCTCCATTTTGTGCCTACATCCTCAAAAAATAGACCCTTTTCAGGCACCAAAATCTTCCAGATGTCATTCAGATACAAGCTGACAATCGGTTTGGTTGCCTAAACCTGTTTTTTTTTTTTCTGAGGTTCATGGGCCATAAATGTTGCATTTGGTAGAGAATATGAGTGCATACAAAATGTGGCCTGCACCCACACAATTTTGGGCAATCGGAAAAATAGCGCCCTCAATAGTTCAGTTTTGTTACAAATAAAATGGTGGCAAATTCAAATTGTTTTGAACAGAAATGTATAATTTGAGAATTTTGACGGTGGTAATGTTGAGTTCACTCACATGCAGTGTTTCAACGCAGGTCTTAGAAGATGCCGATATCCTTTCAGTTGGTAACAGTAGATTGAAAAGAAAATGTAAGTATAAAATTGAAACCGAGTTTAAAATAGGGTTTAACCGTTATCGCTGGGTTTTTCAGATTCATTAGTTCATATTGTTGTGTGAGTTAAGATTATTTTTTTGTTCGTTCTTTGCAACTTATGCCTTCGTTTTTAAAACAAGTCTGCAAAATCTGAAGTTAGCCCGTGTCCCACGTAAATGCTATGGCCTGCCTTCAATTTTAAATAGAATTTACCAGGCCTAGGCCTATAGGCTTGGAATAGTTTTAAAAACATGCAGGCCTATGAGTTTGAAATTAGACACTGAGTGGCATTCAGCTATTTATGCCAAAAGATGGTAATGCGCGAAGTGATATACATGCCTTGGGTTGGGTATAATGCTGGAAGAAAGAGACCTCAGCGTCACCTCTCAAAAATGTAAGGTGGAAATATCGGTATTAAAATAGTGGGCAAGGCATCCTGAGGATATCACACCAACTGTATTAGGTTTTCGCCAACCGACATGGCTTAATTGCCAATGTTTAAATAAGCAACACAACATCAATACCATTTCTGACCATGCATCTTCTACGAAATTTGAAATCTGATGTAAAATTTTAAGTGAAATTTACCCAGCAGTGCGGGAAATGGCTAGCAGTGACCAGTCCCAGATCTTCATGGTCCTTGTCCCCGTCGCCATAATAGGATCCGGCCTTCGGAAACGTCAGGTACAGTGCAACAACCCCCCCCCCTTGTTCATACTGACAGCGATGGAAGAAATGTTTTATAGATTTATGAATCAGAAGTTGTATTTCTGTTGACTGTGATTGTAGCCCGCAGTACCGAATCACCAACTTACGTATCCTCCCATGAAGTCATAGTCCACCGGGGACAGAGGCAACACATCCGCTGCCCGAGCCTCAGGCAAGGGGAAGAAATAAGCCTCATCTTTTGGTTCAGAGGGGGACAACTCCTCGCCCGCTACGCCCATCCAGACGTTGGCAGCAACTTTGTTGAGAGCGATCAGTACGGAATGTCTGATTCCCACGAGCTGATCATCAACAATGTTGACACATCTGACCAGGGTGATTATGCCTGCAGTGTCGTACCCAGCGCTACTGGATTACAGAGAAAAAAGACCATCTCTGTCACCGTCCAAAGTGAGTAAGACCACAGGCCACAATGTCAAAACCAAGTACCAAATTTTGGAATCTGTAATTGTGGCCCATGAAGGTCAGCAACATTACTTAAATCCCTCCTTTGTAAAGATGCATTCTAAACACAGTTGTCATACCAGTCAAAATCAGTCAAGTGACAGATGATATGTCTATGTTTATAGAGGGAGACGTGGATGGAATTTTTGACTCGCTGTGACTGTTACAGCAAAAGGAGGTTTCAACTCGATATCTTTATTTTGTGGTTTGACTGCAATGTTTGTTCTACATGTTGTAACCTCATTTGATATCACCCCATCGTCTTTACTGATCCTCACAGCTCATAAATTTGTATCCATTGTACAAATGTCATTGTTAATATTCTTTCAATATATAGCTGACGTCCCAGATTACAGAGAAGCTGTTTACCCCAGGAACAATGAGGCCTATGTATTCCGGAACCAGACTCATCACATAAAATGCCCCAGCTACCGACAGGAGGAAGCGGTGAGCTTGATCTTCTGGTTCAAAGGTGACCGTCTGGTTGCTCGCTTTGCCAACCCAGAAGTCGGTACCAACTTCATTTCGAGTCGTAATTTCTGGATGTCAAGCTCTCACGGCTTGGTCATTAAGCAGGTCAAGCCGGCTGATGGAGGGAACTACGCGTGCAGCGTGGTACCAAGCGCCACGGGGCTACAAAGGAAAAGATCGCTCAAAGTGACTGTCTTAGGTAAGGGATACATAGGTAACTGGAAATCTTTCAAAATCACGCCGTTGACCCTCATTTTCTGACAAACCACAAACTTCTGTGAGGTCCAAGTTTAATTTTGGGCAAGTTTCACTCATCAGTTCACATGCACTACGCCAAACGGATTCTACATCCAAGATCTTCTCCCTACCCAACATCTCTGTTTCATCAGAGTGGCTAATTTTGTCGTAGATTTTGTTTATCGGCAATCACACGAAAGAAACTGTCGGTCGGTTCTATCCCCCACCAAGCTAATCGAAATCAAATACAAACCGAATGGAAATAATAAACGGGGGGGGGGCTGTTACAGTTTTATCCTCCCTTCAATTTCAAATGGTCACATTTTCCCCCGTACAGACTCAGAATTTCCAGCCTGTGATGGTTCATGCGTGATAAATAAAACTACAATCGAACTCGAACGAGGACAAAAAGACGAAGTCCCATGTCCCATACAGCGCATGCATCGACAGGGTTCAACGATCTGCTGGTCCCTTGGTAACGGAGAAGCCAACGCTACCAGCATCATTGGTGTCAAGTTCTTCGACGGACAGACTGTAGTAAAGACAGAGTACCATGACAATTACAGAATCAACGAAGATGGCTCATTGGTTCTGCACTCATTAGACGCGCTACCCACTCGTTTCTGGTGTCATGTGTTCCTGGATCGGCCGGGTCTTTCTTCTGCACACTGTGACGTCAGTAAGATGGGTACATTCACGCTATCCTTTTGTTTTATAATGCTCTCGTGACTGTCCACTCTAAGAAATAATGATGTTCAAATTTGCACACTTATCACTGATACAACAGCAGCGCCAATTAAGGTGCAAATCTATCCCCAGTATATGATGTATGCTCCCCTGGGGGTGCACGTACGCCCAGGTAGAGGTGTACATACGCCTACGTAGAGGTGCACACCCAATTTGGGTGCAAGTTTGCACCATTTACTGTGGATGCTGTTGTATCAATAGGAATGAAAATATGAACCCCTCATTTCTTAGAGTGTTTGAAGTTGCATCCTGTCGCTCCCATGAAAAATGTACTGATCACCTTTAATTTACTTGACCAGGTTGCAAAATTAATCAACCACTGTCAAGTAAACTCGTCAAAACTATTCGTGTTTGTTCCTCATCAGGTTTCGGCTCTTCGATAATCTATGAACCGACTACTCGGACCACCAGTCTCTATGACGAATTAGTGCTTCAAACATTTGACTTGGATCCAGGTGAGTTTTGTTTGACCCATGTACCGAACACGGAGGGAACAAGGGGACATGTCTCGAGCAAGAGGTCTCCTGATTACGCCGAGTGTCTCTTGGTTATGCCAATTAGTGACAGTTTCCTGTAAATGTGTGCTGTCCGCTTAACTTTGTCGAATGCGGTGCAATAACAGTAGGCTTCCAAACGAGAACAAGGTGATAAATAAGGATGAAAAACTGACTTAAGAACAACCAATGACAAAGTACTTAAAGTGACTGATATTTTCCTTCTTTATCAGGTGAAATATCTCCTGACTCAAGCTCACTGTCAGCAGCATCTACTTCAGATGGCAGTCAAACGTTGTATGTGATTCTAGCTGCTCCACTTGTCATGGTTCTAATATTTGTCATCTGCGTGCGACGCTGGGCAAAGAATTACGAAAATAAAAGTGCAGACGGCGGGGTCGCAACAACAAACCACGGTAAAAAATCAGAACCACTTATTAAAAATACAGCAGAGCTGTTGATGTCCCTGAAAGCGCCGAGGAACAATGAGTTTTATGTTCGAGGAGCTGTAAGCTCTCGGTCTCGGTTGAAGTTCGAGCCACTCCCTCCTCTTGATTTAACAGAAGCCTCAACCCTGTGTCATAAATGACTCCTTTTGTCAGTCCAATTTAAATCTGACAAGTAAATGATGCATCAACGTCATTGCAGATTTGGTTTCCACAGCGGTGCATTGACGGATTAAATCATATTTTGTTAACTGGTAGCAATCTGTTGTCATTGGGGATGACCTATTTTCAACACATCCCCTCAGAAGGCGTTTTTTAGGGCTCTGTAATGGGTCCCCTGGTGTTTACGTTATATGCATCACCGTTGGAGGATATACTCAGATTTATGCCATGTTTATTCTTGAGACTTGCTCATATGTTATTCCTAAACTTGAGGCTTGCCTGCCTGCCTGCCAGACATTAAGATGTGGTCTTCACAAAACGGTTGGAAGTTGAACGAGTGAACGAGAGAGCTTCTCCATCTGCCGTCAAAATTCAGAACGAAGACCACACCGCCACCGATCAGGGTGGGAAATACAGCTCTCAGTCCAGCATCACAAGCACGTGATTTAGGTGTCATCAATGATGATCATTTCACAATGAAGAATCCCATAAGCAATATTCGTCGGTCTTCATCATTCGGCCTTCAAAAGACAGGAAAAATCTGAAAATATTTAGACCGGTTCGACGAAAGGAAAATTAATCAATGCACTTGCAACAACCTGTATTGTTAACAGCAATAGCCTTCTGTATGGGTTATCTCAGTCACAGCTGAAAAAATCCAACGTCCATAGAATGTAGCTGCAAGAGTCATCGCTGGTTCTAAATCATCCGATGCCATCTCTCCAGTTTTGTGCAGTTTGCATTGGTTACCAGTGCAGTCTCAAACAGAGTTCAAGCTTTTGACTTTAACATAAAAATGCAAACATGGATCCGGACCAAGTTATCTTCAGGAGTTAACCAAGAAATATCATCTACTTAGGAAACTGCGTTCGTCTTCTCAAAATTTACTGACTCATATTATCAAGCTCTCACAAAGACATATGGCCCGCGGGCATACATCTCTGGAGTTGTGGAACAGTCTTCCAAAAAATATTAAATCATGCTCTACAGTTGAACAGTTAAAAATAAATTTAAAGACTTCACAGCTTCCATTGATAGCAGATCATAGAGAAATTTCATAATATGCGCATCATAAGAACCAATTGTTATTGTTTATTATTATTATAACTATATTTATTATTTTTCGTTCATGCAGATGAGGCAAACAGGCAACCCTGCAAGAAAATCCATATCGTGGAGAATTTACTCCCAGACCTGGGTAAGATCTTCTCACCTCAAGTATACAGTTCAAAAACGACAGTCAACAACTTATAATTGAAGACGTCAAAAAACAGATCACATAAATGATGTTGTCTCTCGGTTTCAGTGCAGTACATCTCCAGCTCCCCAATCCAGATTTTTTTTTCTTAATTTCAACCTCATTCTATTCACCCATCCTTCAAATCCCACTGATGGAAAAAAGTCACACTGTAGAAAGTTTTGTTTCAGCAGAGAATCCTGCTATAGCATGAACTAGCATGCAGAACGACTTTTTTCACATTACAGAAAGTGTACCCCAAGAATCCATGCACCGGTCTTCAATTAGTACCGAAGTGCCAAGTAGCATGCCGATGTTACAAGTTGAAAGTGTCACAGAAACCGAAGATGTATGTGTGGTCAATTGTCGTCATGGTTAAGGTAAAAAAAAAATAAGAGGCGTTTTGATTCATGAATGCAAAGAGATAAATGTAATCATTATTCAGACGATTCTCTCCCATAAAACAACTGATACAGTGTTTTTGTCATTAACACGGGTACCTCAGTAAATAACCAGTCATACGCAAATAGGTTTGATGGAAAGTTGTCAAAATGTAGACACCATAGCTGCCTAATAATGGTTGTTTTGAGAGCATATCAACTGTATGTTCCGTCGTTAACATCACATTTAGATTCAGTCTTCATTTTTGCGCACCTAAATGAAGTGCAAAGGAACTTGACAGCGACCTTTTAAGTTGGGCACAAAGGAATGTCCTCATTTACACTTGATGTGCGTTATAATGTCTTTTCACCAGAAATTACGACTTGCACGAAGTTTCCAACAAAAGATAAGAAATTATTATTTTGTATTCGCCTCCAGAGGGCAAAAGTATACTGTTACACTTGTTACAATAACATTCTTTCTCTCTGCAGTAACTGCACACTGAAAGCTAATGCGACGAAACGCAGACGGGCTCGTTCAAGAAATCACTCGACACAAGTCGACTCTGCAAGAAGTAAGAACTACCCCAGAATTCCTTATCCTATTCTGCGCTAAACTCCAAAATGACTTGATTGCAACATTCATCGATGTTTTCGGCATTTGTGGCGTTGCACAACCTATCCAGTTATAGAGAGTTTCCAGGAATTTGTACTTAAATTCTGTCGCCCTCTCGGTGATTTGATGTTTAGTAAACATCTGCTACATTATTTTTACCATTACGTCTACTGTACACAAGACTGTATATACAGAACACTTTCGTAGGATGATTTACAATGTTGAGTTAATGTAGATCACAGAAAAAAGGTACTGTCATTTAGTTTACCACACACTTCAATGATGGTCTTTCTAAAAAAGTTTTAAAACATGTACATAGGACCTATTCGAATTTACTACACTGTTTGCTAAAGAGTAGCCTTCGATTAATCCTTCAATAGACAGAATGTTACAGCCATATCTCTCATTATGCAGAATAATTCCAATTATTATTCATAAAGCACTTGTGAGTGCCGAGGTTTG